GTAGAGAGAGAGAGAGAGAGAGAGAGAGAGAGAGAGAGAGAGAGAGAGAGAGAGATGATAAAGAGCGGGGTATTTTTGATAATGTGAAAACGGATGGAATTGAAAAAGTAGCGTCATGGAGGGAATACAGGAATCTCAAAAGTCGCGATTTTGTTGCTGTTGTTGTCGTCGTTTTGTTGGGGGGGGTTTTAACATTAATGTAGGTGTTTCACAATGTAAATCATTCAGGAGGCGGGCTTCTATCCGACCAAGAGGGATACAAGGTCCCAGCAGAAAGACCGAGATGCATCATAACATTTCTCACACTCAGGAATCGAACTCAGGATGTCTTCGGTGTGCGACAGCAAAGATCTAACCATTAAACCGCCTACGCCTGTAAGACACAAGCTAAGTATAACATTGAAACCAAAGGGGGCTCTCTTGGTCTAGAGGTTACAGTGTTCGCCTCTCATTCAGTAGGTTCGGGGTTCGAAACCTGACAGCGACGGAAAATCGTCTTCTCTAAAATTTTCTCCTTTCACATCCTTTCCTGTTCTGTCGTTTTCTTTCGTCCACACTTTCTGTCTACCCCACCCCCTCCCCTCCCCTTTGGCCCCTCCTCTGGGCTCCTGACGCTTTCTGCAGCCTTTCTACTGCTGCTCCTTGACTCCTTCTTACTGTTATCTTTCAGCCATATCCCTGATCGTATGGTAGGCGAGATCTACTACCTAGCCTTCTCGGATAAGGGCGAACAATCCTGGAGGTCCCGTGTGCAAGTTACGCACGTTAAAGATCCCCTGGTGGTCCTAAAAACGATAAGAGTTGGCTTCGGCCACCACCCGGGTAAAATTCAAAATTCCTACCAAACTGAAAAGTGTTCAATGTGTCTCGCGCGCTCATGTAACCTTATGTAGTTGCGTGCGCCGTACAACATTTACCAAAACAAAACAAACTATTCAAATCAAAAGTTTAAAAGTTGCCAGAGGTGCTCGTATGTGTGAACCTTCAAAAGGAAAAGAAGGTGCATGGATTGTGAAGAAGAGATGGATAATCAAATTGATAATAATAATGGATAGTAATAGCATCAGGTACAGCAGCAGTAACTACTACTACTACTACTACTACTACTACTACTACTACTACTACTACTACTACTATTACTACTAAAACTACAACAACTACTATTCCTCACCATTCTACTGTGTTCTCAGCTCATGTGGGCTGGCCACGTTCACCGCATGAACGACTCCCGCCTCACAAAGGGTTTGAGCTGACACAATTAAGGAAAACACTCTCTCGGAAAACACTCTCTCGGTGGACAGGAAAAAATGCTACAAA